TCACTCCATCACAGTCGACTTCTGAGAGTCGCCGTGGACCTCGTGAGAAACATTAGGAAAAAAAAAACAACACATTTAATCACCGATCCTTTCATCATAGTTCTCCGGGATTAAAAGGTTTGAAATGAAACAGGTTCATTGGAGGAGACGGGTCAGACGACTCCCTCTGCTGACTCACTTCTGTGAGTATGACAGAAAGTAAATAATGATTGAATTTGGCCACACAGTGAGAGAAGTGGTTTCCAATCTTGCTTTACAGTTAGACTTCATTCAGGATACGGTTAATTCAGTGGTTCCCAAAGTGAGAGGTGTGGCCCCTCCAGGTTACACAGAGCTATTACAACAGGTCAAAAAGACTTTTTTTTATTGGCTTTGCTCATTGAGCTGCAGTTTGGTAGAGATTTTAGTGTTTTTTTACATAAAGTTCTATGTTTTGAAAGAAAAGCATTAAATATCGTACTCACAAACCAGGTTGCAGATGCACATCGTGAAGTAATTTCTCTAACAATTTTTCCCTCTAAAATATATATGAACATATATTTCCAGTTCAAGGTGGACGGTGAGTGGTGGACATGGATCGACTACGAACGTTTCCAGGAGTTGGTCCAGATCTATGAGGAGAGCGGGGGGCAGCGGAGCTTCTCGGCTCTGGACTACGTGTCTAAGACTCCTCTCTGGGCTCTGTTCGGGGCCCAGGAGCAGGGCTTCGACCCAGACGACACTCGCTTTCAACGGCGCAGCAAAACCAAAGACATCTCAGGATGTTGATAAATGTGGACAGAGAAAATGTTTGTCCCAGACAGAGAATTTACTGATAGATCTGATGTGTGTTGTCGTTGATTGAACAGTTGATGTTTTACCGTTGTTATTTTTATATAATTTTTTGTCTCCACTTTTTTATTTTCCTTTTGACCTAAACGGCCACAGCCCATTAAATCCTGTTTTATCCAACGGTGGTCTCCTTCCCAGTCATTATTTTATGTATGAACAAAGACCATTGACATATTTCATATGCGCGTGCACTGCTTTTTGGAGGAGGTCATTATCATAAACGTCTTTGGCTTTGAACTTGTAATTATCTGGCAGCGCACACCCACTGTTACAGTTAAATCTGGCAGCAGCGTCGCCACAGCTCTCATTGCTAATGTTTTTATGGTCCTACTGTGCAGCAAAGGACATGATTAGCATGTAAGGAACAGCTCCTTCACCCCCCCCCCCTCTCTGTATCATCCGTAGGAGTTTCACATCTTTCACAGACACCTTTTACTCTTCCACCTACTCATTAGGACAGAGGCTGCAGCTCCGCTGGGAGCACCTCCTGGCTGCAGCATCTCCTTACTGCGCTCTGCCTCACTCTCTCCAACAATCTTGACGTTCCTCTGCCGTATGTACAGATTATTTATAGCCTTGTCTGGTTTCGGTTCCATTTGTCTGGACGGCAGATTTAACATCATCCCATCGGAACTAATGCGAAATAATTAGAAACCTTGAAAACTTTTTTTTTGTTGGTTGTGCCGAGAACTTTAATATTTTTCTAGGGTAAGAGTAGGAGTGTGGAATCAACAAGATTTTTAAATCATTTGCTGAAGAAAGATTGAAGCATCGCAACTTCAGTTGATAAATAATAACTCTAGTCCATTACTATAAACCATTACTGTTGAGTAAATCAAATAAATGATTTCAAAATGTAGCTGACTTTGAATTACTGAAATGAAAATGTGATTTTTTTTTTTCCTTTCTTTTGTGGGTTTAACCTTAGCTCTCAGATCTTGTGAATCTTATGAATGTCTTTGAAATAAAATGCCTTGTCTCTTCATACTGTACACAGCCTGCTCACACTCTATGGTGCACTCAGATTTGGAGTTTGGTTTTTTCTTCTGCCATTTGTCTTTTTCTGCTGGAGCCCAAATGTAGAGCTGACATTTGAAGCTGTTGTAATTGTTGTCTTCTGGCTGCATTTGGAGGAGAACAGCAGCAGAGCAGAACAGAACAGAGGTGAATAAAAAAAGAACGTGAATCACAAAAGAAAGGCCTAAAAACCGTGAGGTTTTTAACAGTAATTAGGATTATTGTTCATTCTAAGATGAACGTGCATGTAACTGGTAGTTTTCTTGTTTGTGTGGCCCAGAGATCGAAGGGTGAACTGTCTGTTCTGGAATGTTTGGTTTTCCAATTCCGTTAAAAACCATAAGGTGATGGAAGAGCAGTTGATTACCAGGCTGAGAAATCAGAGAACAATAATGTTGTATCGAGACCAAAGCACCAAATGAAAAGTAACAGTAAAATAGAGAAACATGTTTTTTGACCTTTTAATCTCACTCCTCTGATTCCCACAGTTAAATATCAGTTTATCTCCCGATAATTGTGTGTAAACAACAACACAAAGCTAAACTGAAATAGAAAACAACAGCATTTATTCCATATGTAATAACAAAGGTCAATTTAAAGGTCAAACATGGAATTTTCAGAATTTCTATCTGAAGATGAACTAGCTGCACTGAGATGTTGACAGGACCCTGGGGGATGATGGGTAATGATTCTACTGCTGCAGGGGACTCTGGGTAACAGATTACTGTACATATGCGTGGAGTTATAAAAAGAAATCCTCCACAGCCAGAATGTATGCCATGATAAATGCGGACATGACGACACTGAATAATCAAAGCATTAACGACTCAAACGTCGTTAATCAGACCAGTAAATGAACCAGTGATCAGAGCTGTGCCACGTCCGTACGGCAGACGCGGTGAAACAAGTGTTCGTCTGTGGGTGGTGAAGGTCGACACAGTGAGTGGTCTTTACTTTAGTTGTTACACTTTCTGTATTTACAACCAGAAATATTAAATCCAACTCTTGGATCAAACCTTCTGATGTCATACCCCTGTGTTCTCACTCTGGGTTTGTGATAAGAAAAACCAATCTGAGCTGAGAGAGATTTCTAAACCAACACGACTTTTTTCTTTTTGTAGCTATTCAGACGTACGTATGTCAGTAGATAACGGCTCTTCCTCCTGTCATGGTCTGCTGCCTGACTCACTTCTCACATGGATTGAAATACAGCAATAGGCTGGTTGACCTCCTAAAAAAACTTTTTAGTTGTTTTTCTGCGTCTGGTTTCCCTGTTCAATATGAAGGTTTTTTAATCTTATTTAGAAGTGTCGTCGTTCCTTTAAACGTCAGTCTGCAGACTGACAGAACTTTAATCCCTTCAAGGTTGGACAACACCAGTTTATCACCGGCTGCCCTGGGGTCCTGCTGCCACGGCCCCTCAGACTGTTACTGTGAATGATTTCATCAGCCAAATAATTCCTGGGCTCCAAGCAGACACTCTAAAAGTGTTGACATGAATTTTTCATAGCGCAGGCAGCAGTGATAATTTCTGAAGGAGAAATTATAATTCAGTGTCCTCCAGTGATTCTTGGTGAAACCAGTCGGACTGAGCCACTAAATCACACGCTACTGGAAGCAACAGAGAAACAATGACTGGATGTGAATGGACAGAAAGTGTGATGTATGGAAAAACTTTCATCTTCATAATCTGGTGATCTTCCTCTTCGTCTTCCTCCTTTTCTCCTCCTTCCTCTTTTTCTTCTTTCTCACCCTTTTCTTCATTATCCCTTTTTATATTAAGTATATTAAAATTATACATCTTAACTTTGAGATTACCACATCTGCAGGTCAATCTCCTCTGACTCTGGATTAAGATTAATTCGAACTAAAATAGAGAAAATCCCTCAGATGAGTCAAAATAACTGCAGGCATTTTGGGTGTGAAATGATATCTGCTGGTTATACTGGCTGACTGGATGACATATCATCTGGAAATAAATATCATCACACATGGAACTAATGCCAACGGGCTAAAGCAGGCATCAGCAAACTAAGGCCCGGGGGCCGGACGCGGCCCGTTCATCTTTTTAATCCGGGCCGCCAAACTTTCCCAAATTATATGTTATTTTTTATCATCATTATACTCCTGACTGTTCACTGTAATACCCACATTTCAATAGACGCCAATAGATGGCGTAGAAAATGATAAAAGCATTTTGCTCCTGACCCGCCCCGTTCAATTTTAGGACTAAAGAGCTGTATGAGCTAAAGGACAAATGGGTCAACATACATGTTGAGGGGGATGTGGTCTGATGTCACTGCATCAGTAGTATAATGTCCACTGGGCTGATAAATGGTCCTTACCGTTCTATAGATGCCTATAAAGAGATGAAGGTGGTGAAACTTTTATTTTAACATGCTGTACGCTGTTGGTCCCCGGCTGGAAAATGGCTGTAAGTGTTTCTGCTCACCTCCGTTCAGAGCTCAGGCCACAGACTCATCTACATAGTTATAAAGATGTCCTTTTGAAAGTGTGGGTCAGAGGAAAGATAATGTGCAGACACTCTGGGGTACATGAAAGTGAGAATGGTTCTTGCAGATGTCTGATAAAAAAAAAAAAAGTTGGATATAACTGTTCAGCAGCCACAGCCTAAACGATGACTTCCTGTATCTGCGCTGCCTCCGTGTGGATGTGCATGAACTGCTAATCCAGGTCCCTGTTCCTGTGTGTGTGTGTGTGTGTGTGCCAGATGTCCAGGGAGTCTGGACACCAAGTCTGGGCTCCAAGCAGTCCATCATTCCTGAGCTCCTCCTACCTGTGTCCATCTGTATCTAAGTACTTGGGTCATCCATTAACCTTCTCCTGGGTGTAATGAGCCAAGTTTGTGAAAAGGTGCTTATTCAGCTTAAAGTTCTTCGAGTGTCTATGGCTTCATCAAGAAAGACGGAAAATCTATAGAATTTTTTTTTTTACTTCGTCAAGTTTTGACAAAAAAAAGTACAATGCGTCCAACTTAGACTAAGTTGTCTTTTGATTTTTTTTTTTGTGGCACAGTTTGGATGCTACAAAGCTAAACACAGGTGTTTGTTACTGTGAAATGTGCTCGAAATATCACTACAAGTGCGCTGCAACAAGGAAAGACAAAAAGGAAATGAAGAGAGAGTCAAATTACATTATACTCACATCTAATAACTGGCTGCATGTAGGTGGACCATTTTTGGCCCGCAGGCCAGGAGTTTGAGACCCCTGATTTGGAGACAAATTGTAATGAGACACAGCTGGAGATGCATCAGGATTGGAGACAATATTTTATACTCATAAATAAAATAAAAACTTGATATAAATTCATTCCTGAATCGTCACATACTCACTGCGTATGACCATCATTCATGGAATTCGATCTTTCCTGGGAGGTGAACCCTGTGGAATCACACCAATGACAGAGACATTGCCTCTGAGCCAAAGCCCCACTATCAGGACATCCCTACTTACAATTCATACAAATGTAGTTTGTTTTCAGGTGCTGTCAACTTATGTGTCTTATCTGTTTCTTTAAATCCAATTACGAAAGTCTCCATCAGGCTCAGAATAAAAGACAAAACCAGTTATTCTGACCGCAGGCTTTTTGGAAAATCTTTCTTCTTCTGGCTGCTGTAGTCAGGAGTCGCCACAGCATCACTGATGTGTGTCTGAAACCATTCTTTATAAACAGTCTGTGGTCTGCGGCTGCTCGTATGTCACACGTTCTAAAATGTACATAAAGTAGCATACACACAGTAAAACTAGTTTACAGTACTTTTAATGGTGACCGTAAAGTATTCCATCAGCCTCGCCCTCCAAATGTTGATGCCACCAATGTTTACGGTCCATTTGCTGAAATTACACATCACAGCATCTCCACTGATGAACTCGCTCCATACAGTACACACATACACACACATTACACCGGGTCCTGTGTGTGATTGTGATTTTCCGCTCCGGTTGTTCCGACGCTCCTCTCTTCACCGAACCTCGTTTCACTGGACCAATCAACAGAGCTCTGCTGTCATCACATGAACTCTGCTGTCATATAAACACACCTGACCCTCCACGGTTCACTGAGCCACTGTTTCACTCTCTTCCTTCACTTTACCTCCAGCGTGGTTGATGAACATTACCCAGAGTTTCAAATGACGTACGACTGACATTTGACCCCAGAGGTGCTCAGCTAAAGCTTCTAATGTGGGAGCTGGTCCTAATGAGGACGGACCCTGACAAAGTCAATCTAATCCCGTCTTCAAACAACAACTCAATTAACCAAACGTCTTCCTGACTCTGGCGTTGGCCTCCTGTTGGTGCTTTATGTTTGACGAGGGATTTGGGGTTTGCATCCTAATGGCTTAATTGATTCTCTCCTGACAGCCACTGGTGGCAGATCAAACAGTAGGCTGATGAATCATAGAGGATGGGTCTTGATAATGAGAGCCTGAGATCCGTGTGGGGTGCATGGCAATGAGGAGAGCTGCGTGCTAATCACCCGCTGTGTATCCTTGATAATTTTGGTTCCTTGTATCAGCTGTCATACGGTCTGCTTCACAGCCTGAGGCAAAGAGTGAACTCAAAAAATCACATCAAATGTTAATTTAACAAAAAAGTTAAAGTATGAAAAGGAGCATAATGTGCCCAGCTGGAGAGAACAGCAGAACTGAGCAGCTTGTCACTTATGTAATGCTGATTGTTTAGAATTAATATGAGTTCCTGACAAATATGAGAATGATGAAACTTGTTGGTTGAAGTTTGTGTCTAAGAAGAGCTAGTCTGACAGTTTGAGTTTGGATTTCTTTGTTATGAATGTAACCAATAAATTATTAATTATATTATTATTATTTTAATATCATTTAATTCCATTCTGGACTATAAGTCACACTGGAAATTATCTGGATCTGATTTAAATGAAAAGCAAAAGTAAAGTATTTTCACAGGTGACTTGTTGATGCTGCGGTTCCACTGAAAATG